CTTGGGAAGGGGGAGGAAGTGGTTTGAGCATAAACTGAAGCGTTTTAAGTTGCCCTGCCAGGGCAGCGCGAGGGCCGAGGGGTGCACTGCCTTGCCACCCGGCAACCCCTCACCGCTGGCCGGGTCCCCGCACAGGTGCCTCCACACCCTGAAGGTGGGCTGGAAGGTGTGCTGGGCCAAGGTGAAGGAGGAGGAGGAGCAGAGCCGCGTGGCCTTCCTCTCCCACGACATCAGCATGCTGCGCCTCTTCGAGACCTTCCTGGAGAACACCCCGCAGCTCACCCTGCTCCTCTACGTTATCCTGCGGACAAACAAGGCAGAGCCCTCCCAGGGTGAGGGTCTGGGGCCACGGGAGGGGGTTGCAGGGGTGCAGGCTTGAGGTCAGAACGGGCTCAGACCAGATGGGCTGTCTGGGTGCTGCAGGACCCAGCAGGATACTGTCTGCCCTTGCTTGAGGTGTCATTCTTCTCCCATGTCACTTCTTCCCGTGATGTGACACACAGAAGGGCGGACCCCTGTCCTGCGCTCACATGCCCCAATGGACCATGCTGGGCTTGGGGTGGGAGGGTTGAAGCTGCGGGGACCTGTGGTCATTCCCCTGCATGCCCCAGGAGAGGCTGAGGGTCAGGAGAGGAATCGGGAGCCTGCTGGGGAGCGGGGAGTTGCTGTTGTGGATGCGGACGGAGGGTGGAGCGCAGGCCACCGAGGAGGTGCTTTGGTGCCCGTCCTGGGGTGGAGAGCAAGTGTCACGGCAACGAAATGGGGAGCCCAGTCCTGTGCTGGCTGGGTAGAGCCAGCACTCACCTCCTGCCCGTGTGTGCTGGGGGCTTCCCTGGCGGGGAGGCAGCTCTACAGAGCTGCCTGGTCCCATTGCTTCTTCCCCATCTCCTGGGCAAGGCTGGGCACCAGCCTCCTCCTCGGGGAGGGCGGAAGGCTGGGGAGAGACACGGGTGCTGAGGCTCTGACCCTCCGCAGCAGCTGCTTTGCAAGCTGGTGAGAAGCTCATTTTAGCAATGCTGGGCAGGGGGAGGTCTGAGCCAGGCTGGGACCCCCTCAGTCTGTCCTCAGCATCTCCACCACTGTGTTTGCAGGACTGGGGATCTGCACTGCGTTCATGTGTGTGTCCTGGTCTCTCCTGGACTACCACCAGTCCCTGCGCTCCTTCTTGCAGGACAAGCATAAGCTGAGCCTGGGCTCCTCCATCGTCTACTTCCTGTGGAATCTCTTCCTCATCTGCCCCCGCGTCCTCACGGTCGCTCTCTTTGCCCTGCTCTGGCCCTATAGCGTGGCTGTCCACTTCCTCCTTGTGTGGCTAGCGATGTTCCTCTGGGTCAGCCTGCAGGGCACAGACTTAATGGAGTCGCCCGGCCCCGAGCAGCTCTACCGGGCCATGGTGGCCGTGATCCTCTACTTCAGCTGGTTCAATGTGGCGCAGGGGAGGACACTGTACCGCAGCATCATCTATCACGGCTTCATCCTGGTGGACAGCATACTGCTGGCCCTGTCCTGGCTCTGGTACCGGTCCCCCTCTGACGAGCACTCGTACCTCATCCCAGTGGTCTCCGCTGCCCTGCCCTGCTACCTGCTGGGGCTGGCACTCAGAGTCACCTACTACAAGTGGCTGCACCCCAACGTGCAGGTGCAGGAAGAAGGTGGCTACGATGAGGTGGATGCCAGCAGGCTGGAGTTGCGCTCGTTCTCAATGCCAGACCTTGTGAACCGGCGGATGCAGCGGCTGGCCCAGACCCAGTTCCCAGTCTCCCGGCCCATGGGGCAGCGCTTTCTGAATGGGGCTACTGCTGTTGAGTCTGCTGTCTGAGGCCAGCTCTTCCAAAATGACTTGCCAGGGAGGTAGATTTGTTAGTCCTGCTCCTGGTTCTGCCCTGCCAGGCTGTTTAGGGCAGCTGGAGGGACCTGGCAGAAACCAGGGGTGATGTGCAAGCACCTAGCAAGTCCCATGGCACACAGCATGGCTCCCATGGCTGGGCCC